TTTTGCACGCCCGGGCATCAGACCCCCCGGGGCGTCACGCCCAGGTGCCTGGCCGGGCATGAAAAACTTCCTAGATTTTTTTTATCCTTTTTCATATTTTTTTAATAAAGATTGCGAGAAAATCTATGGACCATCAAATTTTCAGAGTTGCTGAGTCAACCTTTTGAGCGCAAAAAATCGCAAAAGTTGGGGTACTTTTCTTGTTGGCCCACACGTGGTAGAGTGGCAAAAAGCGACGAAACGGTGTGGCATTTATTTCACAGTCTAAATTTTGTTTTTCATTTTTTTGATATTTTTCCTGGAAAGATCACAACCTAATCTACAGGATCTCAAATTTTCAGATTTTTTCGTCAATTATTCTGAGCACGAAAAATCGCCAAACTTCGCGCTTGAAAATTTTTGGACCGGACCTGCCTGCACCTGCCAGTCGCCACCCCCCCCAAAAGAACCCGGTCCGTAAGGCCAGGAAACACGAATTTATGCCGGCAGGGATAGTGGTGGTTTAGCCGGCGGGCAATTTTTTTTGGCCTCGGAAAGGTACTGGCGGTTTGACATTATTATTATTGTATCGATGTCAGCCGGCCGGGATTCGAACTCGTGCCCCTTGTTTATTAATCAGTTCCCTGCGTGTACTATCAGCTATGTGGGCTAGCTATCTAGCTTTTATCTTGTTTTTCAGTGAATGACAAATTGCCTCAATTCCAATCAGTTTACTCTGCTGCCCCCTTCTTCACAGAAACAACCACAAAAGCTCCCTCTCCCCCCCCCAAAAAAAAAGGAGAAATCTATCACATAACCATCAGGATCTATCGAGATGACCCACTACAATCAGATCGCATAACATATATCAGACCCGACTTCCCGCATGCCAAACAAGGAAACATTCAATTCATCTTTCCACGACTGTTGGAGCTTCAAACACATAAGGGTGACCACATTCAGGCACTCTGAGCCATTCATCTCTTACACCACCCTTTCAGCCATCAACTTCATAGCAGTCGGACCCGAATTCCAGCATGCAAACCAAGGAAGGACACATTCAATGAATCTGTCCAGAACTGTTGGAACTTCAACGCATAAGTGCGACCAGATTCGGGCACTCCGAGCCATTCATCTCTTCCACCACCCCTTCCGGCCAAATGTCATTACCGTTATCAACTTGTCATTTTATAGATTAATTGAACAAAATTTGGGACGGTAATAATGATCCAGCTTTGCGGCTTACCAAGCGAGGAGGAAACCTAACTTCACTAACCTCGGACCTTCGCTTCACTTTAAACCATACAGCTTGTGCTTTAATCGATCCCTCCTTCGTCTTCGTCGTCGTCATTCTGAACGACAGAATTCTTCATCCTATAGAACTTCTGTGTACGCCACGTTAGCAAAGCTGCCGCCGATATACTCGCTATACAAACGCCTCCAAGGATAACCAGTGCTTTAGCAAAACAGGCATGGCCATAGCATGTGTGTTCTTCCATACATTTTGCGATGCCAACATCCCCTCCTAGACTTTTGCAGTAGTGGACCACCTCCTGATCATAGAGGCTTCCAGTTATTTTCGCAGACAGTATGAGAGCTCCGAACGGAAGCGCAGATGCTACGGCCTTATAGACGGCGCCGAAGTGTTCCAATCCAAAGAGATCGGAAGCAACAGCGGGCACAAGGCTCCAATAAGCTCCGAAAGACAGTCCAACCAAAATCGATCCCGTGAGCAAAGCCCCGCTGGCAAGAAAGAAAAGAGTAACTATCATCAAACTGGATGCCATTGCTAACAGCAAAGGGCGAGGCACACCCCGTCTGGTGAAAAGATCGGAGGCGTACCCGGCACCGAGCCGCCCAAAGCAGCTCCAAATACTGATCAATCCCACAAATTGTTCCACCCGATTTACCCGTAGTGCTTTGCCCATCTGCGCATAGTTGTTGATAATTGCGATTCCTGTGCCCGCACCAGACCCGAGAGTGAAGAACAGAAGCCAGAAGTTTAGCGTTAAAGAGCTCTGAAGTAAGGTCAGGCTGTGAACAGGACAAGGCGACACAACCGTCCTCTTTGGAGACGAAGATGATGTAGCTGTTTCACGCGACGGCGACCACTGCAACCTGAGGATGGCATGTGGGGTCTCCTCCCGCTCGTTTTGACTTTGCCGTTTACCTTGCATCTGCGCCTGGCTCTCAGGCGGAAAAGGCAACAGCTCCAAAGTTTCCGACGTACGATACATGCCAGAGGACTTAGCCTCATCATACTTTCTCTCGTCCTCCTCGATTCCTGCACTACCTCCCTCTACTCCCCCACCTTGCCGTCGTTCTCCACGTTGATCTGCTTCCGCTTGGCCTCCACCTGGCCAGAGATGGTGACCAGGCCTCGTGTTCGCTGGCATCTCTTCCAACTGCACCCATCGAGCTTTCCCCTTCCCCCTCAGCAGCTTGTTGGAAACAGGTAGAAACGCCAGTAGACTGAGAACTACAAGCATGCCAATCGCTCCTACAATGAAGCCAACCCTCCCGAGAGAGAATACGCTCTGCAGTACGAAGAGGCCCAACAGGTAGACAGCGAGCCCAACTATGAGCCCATACGCGAACCGGAAGCGCAGCATTGCTTCTGGCGGTTCGTCGTCGTCATGGCGTCGCTTAGTAGGAAAGTGACGAATGGTATGAGCCAGCAAAAGCATAGCACTGGCAGGCAGCACAGCCACAAGGAGAAGAAACCCACTTGTGTCTGGGCTAATGAACGCTTTGTACAGCACAGTGAAGACTGCACCACTCAAGCCAACTTGCGACTTCAAAAGGCCCATAACCGTTCCGCGGAACATTGGGAAGTTCCGCATGCTTGTCACAACACAGGCGGTGTCTGCCCAGCTCCCTCCCCCAACTGCAAGTGTCACAAACATACACAGAGCTCCATACGTTGGCCGAATCCGATCCGTTACCGTCAACCAGAGGACACCGTACCCTGTAAGATGCCCTACTGCACCTACCACCATCGTTACCCATGGGGGATAGAAATTATACAGCAGCCCTGCAACAAGACCTACAGTGCCCCCAAAGTCTTTTGCTGCACCTAGCCCATCAACATCCTCTTGAGAATAGTGCAGAGTTTGCTTTAGATGCTCACTGTAGATAGCAAAGGTGTAGGACAGCCCTGTGCAGGCCTCCACCAACATCGCCCCTACAAGCCCGGCCCATCGGTTCGACAACATTGCAATGCTCCTCCGTCTCAAGCGACGTCCTTTCATTCGCGCCAATATAACATGTCCCAGACCTGACTCGCTCCGTGGTCTGCAGAGGTTTCCACAACCTCCGCAGCTCGTGCTTCTATTCTCCCACCTTTTTTACATTCTAATCTCTCACAGTTTCCACATAATTCCTCTGGCCATCCAGATGGCACGTGATTGGGAAACCGTCCACCGACGCTACTCATACACACACAGGCACAGAGCCAATCTTACTGCCTGTTACACACAATTGCAGGCCTCCGCCAGCATTGCTCCCGCAAGTCAAACCCGTCGGTTCACATACATTGCAATGCTCCTCCATGTCAAGCAACATCCACTCATTCACACCGATATAATTCACGTCCCTGACCTGAATCGGTCGGCAGTCTGGTCCCCACAACATCTCCACCAGTTGCTTCTATTCTCCCACCGATTCTCAATCCTTGTCACTCCCTGTTTTCACACTCCCCACGCGACCCAAGTGGGGCACGACATTGGGATGCCATTCACCAATGCCACTAATACACACGCTGGCATGGAGCCAATCTTGCTGCTCTCTGTCGCACATTACTCCAAATGCCAGCAGGCCTTACCTGACAGGCATTATCATACTGTCTTCTCCTCTGCTCAGCTTCGAGGAGTTGCAGACAAGTCACAAGTTGCACGAAATTGTTCCGTTATGCTGGGGACCGATTGGCTATACCATGGGAGGAGGCTGGAACAATGTGCCGCAGGAACCCAGAGATGACTCCAGCCAATGCTGCCAGAAGACAGACAGCACAAGCATAGAGTTCCCATTTCGCAGTCACTTTAACCATACCCGCAAATCAGATTGCCTTGGACCTCGTCCGACACATCGTTACTCATTCAGAGTTTGAAAAAATCCATACAGTCTGGCATGTCATCATCAACTATATCGTCAAGCAGATTGCTTTCAATGCATCATCAATCCATTCAAGGAGATTCATATAGTTCCACCTATCATCATCATCATCATCATCATCGACTGCGGGACCTGCAATCAAATTGCTTTGGACCTCATCCACCAAAATCATCACCTATGCAATGCGACGTTCATGCTGCCAATGCAGCACGTGATCATTTCCAATGTCTGGAAAGGCCTGAGCTTGTGCCCATGCCTTCATAACTGGGGAAAATCAAACAGCCATGTCTAGAGAGGGTAGGTGATGACATTTGCAAGGGTAGGCAGGCCTCTGGAGAGGATGGATGCGGGCAGGCCTCTGAAGAGTATAGATGACATTTGCAAGGACAGGCAGGCCTCTGCCAACGATGGATGGCATTTGAAAAAGCGCAGGCAGGCCTCATGGAGCAGACCTCATGTGGCATTGATGGTTCCCAGCTTTTTCCGGGAGGGGGGAGGGGGGGGGGGGAAGAAGGGAGGAGAAAAGAGGATCAACGAGGTGGCAATGAAGAAGAACAAACAGACAAAACACGACGTCACTCCTTCCGCAATGAAGAGGAGCACCATATCATTTCATTTACCATCACGAGGTGCGAAATAGTGAACACCGAACAACCAAAGAAACAAGATCCGCACAAGGGGGAATCCTACCATAACGAGTCAACATATTCCCCACCCCTCTCCTCCACCCTCCGCCCCCACTCCTTGGCACAGACGCTTCAGTTGCAGTCACCTCCACAAAAAGGAGCATAGACTTACCAGCCTGCAAGACTGACAGAACCGCATCAGCTCGGCTATTAAACCGTTCCACCAGCATCGTAAGCCCTGCAAGAGGTGGTCTTCACTCTGAAAAGCCTCTGCCTCCACTTCTGCTGCTGCAGATAAAGCATGCCGTTTTCAATCTTCTACTACTGCAATCAAGCACCAAACTCCCTCTCTCCCTTTTGACAAGAAAATGGTCCACCCTCAGGAAGGCACCTCATCTTTGTAACGGGAAGCAAGCCCTTGCAACAGATGCCGATACAGCCTCACCCTCTACTAATTAGCATCCTGAGGGGGGATACGGGAAATCAGATCGGGTGAGGGCTAGGTCGAATGAGCCAGTGTGACCAGGGCTTGAACTGCTGATCAGAACCCTGTCCAGATCACTTGACGCCAAAACGGCTAGAGTCATTCCCTGCCATCCATCTAGCATCCCAAGACAGCTTAAAACAGAGAGGGAGAACATCAAGCGAGTGAGTGTGAGCAGGGCTTGTGCTACTAACCAGCAAGCTGCCCACATCAATTGACACAAGAAAGGTTGGCGTCATTCCCACCCAGCCACGTGGCATCTTCCATTAATTAGACAACAACAGGAAGCAGGGTCTACAATTGGGGGCCTTTGCCTCAAAACTTTCAGAGGATGCAGTTGTGTAGCACCTCACGCAGCCTGTCCTCCCTTTCTAATTTCCCTACCAGACTTCCTTCCTTGATCAAATACTGTAGGGGGACCCCCTACGCCAAATTGCGACAATCAGCTCCCCAAAACACCTCTCCTCTCCCCTATCTTGGCATCAGTATCCGAACGCTGTTCTGTCCACAAGAGGCTGGGCTGGCCTGGTGCAACGACTTGCTGGGGGGGTTCTGCAGCCTGCGACCCGTCGACCCGAGGCTGTAACATAGGTAGGTTAGTTTTGTAATTTTGTTTGGCTAAGGACTAACCGAGAGATTTGACTGTGAGGAAAATTCGTGAGTGACATATCTGTAAATTCGTAGAATCTCAGGCCTGCACTAACTCAAATTTCCTACAGCTTCCCTAGCTGCGAATAGCAGACCCGGGCTACCACTAGGACAGAAGGGCCTACGGGCCTATACTGCTAGACGGTCCTATAGCCTATAGCCGGGTAGGGAGAGGCCCTAGGGGCCGAACAGAAACGGTACCAGTCAGTCCAGTCAGTCCGGTCTAGGTCGTGTCTAGGCTAGGGTAGACTACGAATAGGTGTAGGAAAAACTGTTCGAGGCTTTTGGCAGTTGGTACCGTGTACAACGCGGCTGCGCAACTTGTGAACTGGTGGTGGTACAGCTTCAGCGTTGGAGGAGACAGACATAGCCTTACCTTCGAAGTGTCGGCCATAGCTGAGACCTACACTGTTCTCTGACAGCACGCGGGGCTGTTCAGAGGTCCGGGCTATCTGAAGTCTGCTGGAGGCAAGAGAATTTGGTGCCCTGCTGGACCCTCCTCAGGAGTAGGGTGTCAGGGTGTGTGGCACTGCAGCCATAGCTGCAGCTTTCATCCTCAGAGATCATCTTTGTCGGGAGAGGTGGCGCTGCTGCAGATTTCCATCGGGGAAGTCTTCTGGCACTTCATCATCATCAGAGACTGTGGCCCTGGTCTTCTTCTTCATCCTCTGAGAGGCGCTTGGCCTCAGAGGCCTGTTTCAGGGTGGCGCTTCCCTCTGAAGGCAGTATCTGGGTGGCGCTGGTTGTTTCAGGGGCTCAGGGGTAGTGATAGCGGTTACTCAGGGTTGGGGAAAGAAGCGCTGCTCATTTCCGAGCAGCGCATCACAGTTCTGGGGTTATTCTGACAAATCAAGACTCTGAGTTTAGTAAACAGTGTTGATACTGTGGGTGAACTATCTTTGCTTCATTGTTTCCTGGATGTGATCTACTCGGCTTTCCTTTGTGACTGGTTGTGAGGATTCTGTGGAGTGAATTGCACTTTCAGTACTCTGTCATATCGCATGGTCAAGTCTTCCGCCGTGTTTCTATCTCCCTGTGCAGTGTGATACTCCCATCCTCTCCCCTTCCTTCTGTGTATGTATGCGCATACCTGGAAGTCTATGTGCGCGAGTGGTGGTCTTCTGACAACAAACAACCAGGTTCATAACACTGGCCTGTACGTGCCTACTCTCCAAGATGCCCCCACCCACCCGAACATTGGGGGGGTGGTCTCCACCCCCACCCCCCAACGTTTGGGAAGTTCGGCCCCCACCAAAAATCATTTTGGGCCCTTCGGGGCCTAAAAAACATTATTTTATTTTGCATTTTTCTGGTTCATTCCGTAGCATGTAAGGTACATGCCTATAAATTTTCAGGGCATTTGGATGATCCCCAAAAAAATGAAAAATCACCAAAGATGGTCATGTCAAAGATATGCTTACCCACTCACTATTCCCTTCCCTTTTTCTTTTCTTTTTCGTAAAACCTTTTTAATGTGTGTGTATATCTGTCTGGTAGTGTTTATGTGTGAGTGTTTGAGAGAGAGAGAGAAAGAAAGAGCGAGAGAGGGGGGGTTTGGAGGAGAACGGGAGAGATGGGGAGACTTTGAGAGAGAGAGAGAGAGAGAGAAAGGGAAAAAGAGAGGGACAGGGAGAAGCGAGGGAGACAGAGAGAGAGCTCGTGAGCGAGCGAGCAAGCGAGCAAGAGAGAGAGAAAGGAAGTCACACACACTGGCGTGCCAAGTCTTTTTTTTCTGTCCAATAATCAATCAATGGTCAGTCAATCAGTCAATCAATTAAGTAGCTGGTAATCCGAAGTAAGAAGTAATAATAATAATAAAATTAAATTAATTTCGTTTTATTTGTATTTTAAACTTGGTAAAGAATTTCGATGTGGCCCCAAGGCAAAAGTTATTCAGTCTATTTTTCTGCATATATTATTTTTTTTGGGATTTTCTGAGTTGTTTTTTTCTTTTTTTTTTTGGCACTGGGGTTCGGCCGAAGGCATCTCCAAAGGGGGCCGAACGTTTGGCCGTTCTAAAAGGGCCTTTACGAGTCAGACCCCAAATGGATGCCCCAACAGCAAAGGGCCCTGTCGGCCAGAACTTAAGTTCACGAGCAGCAACCCAAAAGACAAGTTCCCTGAGGTAAATGCCGCATCCACAATGAAATGAAAAGTTGTTCTGAACAGTCACAAACAGGTCCTGCACGACCAGGTATCGAATACAATTTTCAAGACTGAGTTAGCGTCATGTCTCCTCGATGGAAAGTCATGTCTGTTCGGCAATGAGTCAAAGGCCACAGTCCCAGTCCAGTCATAATCCCACGAGTCAGTCCTGATTCAGACCAGGAGTCCAAAAGACAGGCCCGATGGCCCAAAGCAGCAGCAGACCATGGGAAAAGATACTGGGACACGCACTTTCAACA